ACTGACGCCGCAGAGCCCCCGGGGGGACCCCACAACGCGTGCTCCCGTGGATGACACGCTTCCGCGCGCGGCCGCGGCAGCCGAGGCTACCGCAGCCGGCTTACAGCTAAGCGTGACGCCGACGCCGTGCTCAACTCGCACCAGGCAACCCCGGCAGGAGAAGTGCACCACGCCGACGGTTGGTGAGCCGAGCGCTCCGCACACGTCAAACGCTCCTCGCGAGGAACTCGCTACAAAGCATCGTTCGCGTACAAATAGCTCGCACCCACCGAGACCGGAGACGGGCTGCCCGACCGAACGGCCAGGCGGGCCCGCACATAGAGCACAGGGTCGTCGGCTGACAACGCCGCCCACGTGCGCGATTAGAACGATGAGAAGGCGCGCTTCAAGCGGTTACTCCACGACCGAGTTCGGTATCCACCGTTGTTCGGTGGTTCACATCGACGACCACACCGGGCTCGTCGTTCCGACCTCAGGGACGTCACGGCGTTTCCCCTCGGGCTCATCAATACCCGCGTTACCGATCAATCGTGGAAGGCTTTCTTCGCGCGTCCTCATCGACACCACTCACGTGTTCGACATTACCGACGCCGCTCCACCAGTCAACATATAACCGAATGCATCGCACGTCCTGGCGAAGAGCACACGAATCGCGAGCAATCTGACGGCACCCGTGGCGCGGCCGGCCGAGCAGGAGGCGACCGCATTTCTCCCTCTCCCGCGCGAGGCACGAGCTCGCGCGCACGGTCGGCCGGCGCGGCCCCTTCGGGTGACCCGCTGCTACTCGTGCTCTGCTAACAGTGCGGCCGGAGATGTCGGTGTACGGACTTGTAATATTTTCGCGTGCTCCGCCAACAGTGCGGCCGGAGATGTCGGTGTACGGACTTGTAATATTTTCGCGTGCTCCGCCAACAGTGCGGCCGGAGATGTCGGTGTACGGACTTGTAATATTTTCGCGTGCTCCGCCAACAGTGCGGCCGGAGATGTCGGTGTACGGACTTGTAATATTTTCGCGTGCTCCGCCAACAGTGCGGCCGGAGATGTCGGTGTACGGACTTGTAATATTTTCGCGTGCTCCGCCAACAGTGCGGCCGGAGATGTCGGTGTACGGACTTGTAATATTTTCGCGTGCTCCGCCAACAGTGCGGCCGGAGATGTCGATGTACGGACTTGTAATATTTTCGCGTGCTCCGCCAACAGTGCGGCCGGAGATGTCGATGTACGGACTTGTAATATTTTCGCGTGCTCCGCCAACAGTGCGGCCGGAGATGTCGATGTACGGACTTGTAATATTTTCGCGTGCTCCGCCAACAGTGCGGCCGGAGATGTCGATGTACGGACTTGTGATATTTTCGCGTGCTCCGCCAACAGTGCGGCCGGAGATGTCGATGTACGGACTTGTAATATTTTCGCGTGCTCCGCCAACAGTGCGGCCGGAGATGTCGGATTACGGACTTGTGATATTTTCGCGTGCTCCGCCAGCCATGCGGCCGGAGATGTCCGAAACGACTTGTGGTGTTGCATAAAATGATTTTTTGCGTCTTGTTTATGACGTCAAGTTTGGTGCACTAATAACGCCCTTTGCACGTGAAAACAGGAATCATTGGAGTTGAGGAGCGATTGCAGCTCAACATGATTCCTATATGACACATTCAACGTTGCATGGTAATGGCGCACCCTATTCAAGAGAAAAATTGTTTTCGTGTGATGAGCATCATTCGTGAGCTGCCAGATCACACGAGCCTTTGCTGCGGTGATTTGTGTATTCATTTGTGATTTATGGAATGCGTTTCAGCTGTCTGAATGAAAATATTAGTTAATAATGTCTTCAAAAATAGTTAGATGCAATCTTACTTCAAAAAATATAAATGGTCACTGCGAGGAATTTGACAGTGTTGTTAACGAAAATAAATAAGATCAACGAGGAGGCCACGTTACCTCTTGTCGTAAGAGGAAGACAGTACAATGTAGGCCATGTCAAAACTAACATTGACACGCGTTAAGTAAATAGCGATATAGAGTGCTAGCGACGTGAATGATGGAAATAATAATATTAACTGGCATCATGTATTTCAGAACTGTTTTGTGTATTCTGCCTTTGTATTTCCATTGTAATTCTCTCTTCTTTGTAAGCAATGAGATTAACAACACTGAATTTTTGGATGATTCACTTGGGTAGAGAATGCCGCCGGTGATGCATTAATAAACATGATTTTATACAAAATTTAATCAAGATAACACGTGTGAATTGCATGAAAATCAAAGTTGCTGTGCCACATCAGTGTTTCATCTCTGCTGATTGTGATACCCTCTCTGCCCGTTCTTTGTGACTAGAGTAGAATGAACAATCGCAGTAAAGTCAGCTTTTGCTCTGTGGGTTTTTCGAAAATTGGCAATATGCCGGATGTGCATGGTTTTGGCAGCGGGATAAGCTTGCGAGCCGTGAAATTATCTTGAGAGAAATAAGTACATCAACCTCATAAATAAAGATGTTATTTCCGCTCGCAAATTGTACACGAAATATAACTTTGGACGTGAATTTGAAAAGTTAAGGGGTGTTTGAAATTATATTTTGAAACAACAATATTTAAACGTGGTACATCCCTTGGCAGAGGATGAGATGACCAAAAGATTTTTCATTCAGTTTTGCACACCTCGTGAATTTTGTGCTTCTCTACAAGGAGCCGAAACGTGAATACCAGATTAGATAGATTTCATTGAACAATATACGAACGGAAGAAAACCCCCACTATACATGAACATGCGACGTAAAGTTCTACTCGCCACATGTGACCGTGAAATTTTTCCACTATTATTTTCCTAGTTTCAAATGTTTTGAAATGAAATTTTATGATCACTTGGATTTGCTTACTGTTTCTGAAGTCGCTGCGTAGCGGAGATGTTAGGAATTACAGTAAAATTCATGAAGGGCGCTTTATTGTAGGGATGAAGTTATATGCGATTTCATGAACATCAATCGGAAAAGAAAGGATTTGTTTCCCATATTAGGGAATATTATGAAGAATGCATGCATACATTAACATACAAGATTTGAAATCCGATTACGTACATTAGGATGGAATAGTATTGCAATGAAAGGAACGTTTAACGTAACGGTGCACTTCAATAATCTTTTATAATTCAAATATTTGTTATAAATATTTTAAATTGTCAACGCAGGAAGAATTTAATGAGAGGTTGAAATTAAATAAACACGAATGTATTAAATAATGCATAGCACACTTTATAAATTTTAAGATGTAATATAAGACACTCCAAGTGATACAAATCGACGGAGAGATTCATAAAGTAATACACATGAACAAACGTATATCGATGAATTAATGAAAGGAATATTCACGTACATCAAAAATATATGGAAGAATAAATGATAATAATTATTTACACTTAAATCAAGGCTGAAGCTAAACAGCTACACAATCGAAACGTAAATGCAATAAATTGAAATTCAACCAATCCAAACAGAGAGACGTATGAAAAATTTGCAGAGCATAGTGAGCTTCTAGGGTTCCAAAGAGGGATGGGCGATGTATACATGGAAAATTATCTACTGTTCCGGCACATTTCGCCGCGCTTGACCAACGAGCACAGCGGCCGGAGTTGTCGATCTGATCAGTGCGGTCGGAGATGTCGGCGGCGGGACTTGTAATATTTTCACCCGCTCCGCCAACAGTGCGGCCGGAGATGTCGGTGGAGGCTACTGCCATTGCTCCAGTACCTTAAGAGAGTCATAGTTACTCCCGCCGTTTACCTGCGGTTGCTACAATTTCGAGATTGGCCGGAGACGTCGCCGGCTGGACTTGTAATAATTTCGCACTATGCGCCAACAGTGCGGCCGGAGATGTCGGTGTACGGACTTGTAATATTTTCACCCGCGCCGGCAACAGTGCGGCCGGAGATGTCGGTTAGATAGGAGGTTAAAGAAAAATGGTATTGGGAGACGAGGCTAGCGTCGCACGTAGAAATAATTAATTCGGGTGCCGAGAAATTTTTTTTACGCAAACAAAGCAGACGCGTGGTGACATCACGTCACCACGCGTCTGCTTTGTTTGCGTAAAAAAAATTTCTCGGCACCCGAATTAATTATTTCTACGTGCGACGCTAGCCTCGTCTCCCAATACCGTTTTTCTTTCTATCTTTCCCTATTATATTTTCCTATGTCCACTTTTTTGGTATCTTTATTTTTCATATTTTTCCTTTCCTCTTCCTTCTCCTCTTACTCTATCTACTGTACACCTTTCCCTTTTAAAATTTTCCTTCATTATCCTATCTTATTACTTTCTTATTTAGACTATATTTAATATCAAATACATTCCCATTTTCCCTATCCCTAATACATCCTACAATAAACTAACCTCTATAATCCTTGCTGCTTATAGTACCGCTGTTTCCTACATTTTCGCACTAACATATACAACCATATCATGCACACATGCTCACAGTGATATCATTTCTATCTTACAACATGCAAAAATTTGTTAGTATCCTACATAAAATAACTTATTTATTAGTCGTTCACATTTAAAATATATTTGGCATGCACTAGGACATGCATGGCTTAATCTTTGAGACAAGCATATGTAAACTGAAAGGATTATCCAGGAAACTGACACCGCAGGGCTCCCAGGGATCCCCACAACGCCTGCTCCCGTAGATGGCACGCTTCCGCGCGCGGCCGCGGCAGCCGAGGCTACCGCAGCCGGCTTACAGCTAAGCGTGACGCCAACGCCGTGCTCAATTCGTACCAGGCAACCCCGGCAGGAAAAGTGCACAACGCAGACGGTTGGTGAGTCGGGCGCTCTGCACACGTCAAACGCTTCTCGCGAGTAACTCGCTACAAAGCATCGTTCACGTACAAATAGCTCGCACTCACCGTGACCGGAGACGGGCTGCCCGACCGAACGGCCAGGCGGGCCCGCGCATAGAGCACAGGGTCGTCGGCTGATAATGCCGCCTACGTGCGCGATAAGATCGATGAG